CAAGGTGTGGTGAGAAAACAGTTATTGAATAAAAAAGTACTGAGAATGGAGTTGAAGAGAAGGAGTCGCGTGGCGCAGGCTACCAAAAGGCGGATAATCACTCGGAATGCCTAGTCAATAGGAGGAGGATGAAACCAATCTGGTATGGCCAAAGTAATGCCGTAATGAATGGAAGAGATTTAAAGAAAATCTGGTATCGGGGCTAAAGATGGAGCGGAAAAGCAGTTAACTGGATGACTTGATGACGATATTTAACCTCTTGGTCACTAAATAAACTCTTATATTCTACAGCACGACAAAATCTCATAGCATGCCCGTGCTATACTTCCTCTCTTAGATCATTGCAGTTTTTAAGTAATTTCTTTGAAACGACTCTTAAATTCCACATTTTGATTCTCTGAGTGTATTGATACTGACATACCTTTCATTTCGTTCGAGAAGGCGGGTGGAAGGGCTTCGTAGATTGGCCTCACCGGATACCAAAGGAGGGTTGTCTTGGCTTTTTGTATGTTGAATTGTGCGAATTAGACCTCGGCTTACTGTCCTACGACCCCGATTATATAGAGAAGATGATGTGAGCATTAGTTGATTTTGATGCATAATGAATTATAGCTAAGGACCCTGCAGAAACACTAATATCGAGACTTAAGAGTTGCCTGCAACAATGCGTTAATAATAGAGAATTGGGTAAGTGAAAATTGAATGCACTTCTCCGTGACGCTAGACATCCTAATGCATATGGACTGTCCAAAATGCACAAACATACGGTCCAATTTAGGATCATTGTGAAAATAAGTGTGGTGTGATGCATAAAACATTACGATTCCTCTGTGTTCAATTAAAGTAAATCTCAAGTTTTGTGAAATTTGCAATTGAGAATTTTTATGGCTTTATAAAGTTAATAGATGAGAAACTAATTGAGCGAGAAGATTTGCTAGTAAGTTTTTATGTAGTATCGATGTTCACGAATATACCGGGTCCATACAGACATTAGTATTAACTTTAGATCTACATCCAGAGATTATGTCAGGAAATAAGATAAGCAAGGAGTCAATCATTAGAATGACGAACTTAATAATGAATAGTAAATATTTTATCCTTAATGGTAAATTGTACGAGCAAACCAGAGGTTTAGCTATGGGATCATGTTTTTTTCCAGTTTTAACTAATAACTACATGGCTCAATTTGAAGTTCGGCCTCTTCAAAAGTATTTCCTAGTTCCGAAACTGTTTGTCAGATTTATGGATAATTAAGTGATAATCTGGCAGCATGGCACAGAGTTTGGAAGACTTATTTGGGTCAATGAATAGATAAAATAAGGCGATTAGATTCACAATGGAGTTAGAAAATAACAGTAAGGTTTATGAATTCATAAATCGGAGGTAGTTGAACATGTAGTCACTACAGGACACCAGATGGTGGTCTAAATCCCAACGTTTTGCCGGATATATGGACTTCGCAGCTAATTGGAAGATCAAGAAGTCGATTGAAATTAACAAAACAAATAAAACCCTGAATAAGAGGAACGAATGTAGGAAACTAAGTAAGAACTATCTTTGGCTGTTGAATAAAATGAGATAGACAGATAGATAGAGATAAAATGAAAGGGAGCAGGAAGAGCCACTGAGTAAATGAACATTTGACTAAGCTGGAGTCTATTTTTGGAGGCTTAGAATCCTAGCTTTTCTTATATTTCTGGATGTAATTTGCTTACAAGCTATGGCAACTATAATGGTCTGCTTAATTTACCTCAGCAATAAAAAATCCTACGTTCATTAGCTCATAAAAGTAAATACAATTCAAGTATTTATTCTGGATTCTCAAAGAATAAGAGTAAATATTATATATTAAGTGTAGTCATCCTATTTCGTTTGAGGTGATAAGGGGACTAGTAGTTGGATTTTCCCATAATGATATGAGTATAGCTTACGTTTCCATTGAATTTCGCATAGCCTTCCTTTCCCAAAAGTTATTCTTATCGAGGATGGACTGCAGTTTCTACTTCGCATAGGTCTTAACAACACACCCAGCGGGGCTCAAACCACGACAGGGCAGCTTAAAATCTTGAAACGTGTAGACTTATGCGAGTTAGAAGCCACACTCTACCCTTGATGAGAATACCTTTTGGGAAAGCAAAACTATGTGAAATTCAATGAAAACGTAAGCTCAACTCATATCATTATGCTAAAATTCAACTACCAGTCCCCTTAGCACCTTAAACGAAATAGTGTTAACGCACTTCATATATATATTATCTTCCGGTAGTCTCGAATGCCTACTTAGAGCCAAAAACGAGAGTTAATACCAAATGTATGAAGACCATGACGGTGTGGCTATTTGTATGGTCACAGTCTCCTTTCGTTCTATAGAAGTTGTTTGACCTTGTTTTCGCAACATGGTCATATTGACAGAAAGAGCTAGAGAAACTCAACTTGTCCGGAGTCCATAAAATGCATGATAATTTCCAGAGTCGGACCGTGGACGTGGTACATTCCCAGTCGTCAAGGTCAAAGCTTTAATATCGCCTGCCTATAGTAACTGAGGAAAACATGTTTATATTTTTTTAAATCTCGAATATGAGCGCTCGCTCTGTAAATGTATGTATGCAGAGAAAAAATAATGTACGCAACTACATTTACTCTATTACACTTAGTCTATGTGAAAACATTTTCCACTGCTCAAATAAATAATATACGTATATAAATATATATGTACGTATAATTAATATTTGCCATTGTGCTCATATATATCAGGACAATGATTTAAAGAACTTAATTGAAAATTGTTGGTAGGCTGGAATGAAATAGACTCACGGAGCAATCCGAAAATTCAGCATATGAAAATAAAATGATATGCCGACTGTCAAATAGCTCACAAATGTAATCTATTTATACATACAGCATTTTTGTTGAGTTAACTTCCTTTGGATCTAACTTTGTTCAATTTTTTGCACTTTTGTTGTAATTTGTTGCCTAGATAGGAATGGTCTTGCTAGACTTTCCTGCCATCTTCGGCCTCTTTGATTAGCTTTAAATTGGCTTGAGTTTCATTGTTCTTTTTTGTAACGCATGTCTTAATCTCTTTATTTGGAGTCAGAGATGTGGGTGGCCCACTCACTCCAGTATAAGTCTGTTCGAGTTCCTGTAAAACCTTGCTATATGGCAGAGTGCCCGACATTTGCGGATCGAAACGATTCAATAGTTCATAAACTTGCTCGTCGGACAACTGAACGCCGATGGCAGCACGTAGAATGTTTCGAAGATCATTGACGCCAAGACGATTGTATGAGGTAGCATTGCGAATGGATCGATGAAGGTGACTCCACTCAAGTTTTGATATCTATTAAATTACATGAAAAAAGTGAATATTGACTTGAATGGAAAAAAATGTTTGTACAAATAAGGATATAAACCAACATCCTGGTTAGTAATAAGTCAATCTTTGCTAAATTTAGTTGGCAATTAATTCAACAATGTTTATATTTATATATATATATATATTTGTTCACCTGGAAAGAAAATAAGTAAAATTAAGACCAGTTCTCATCCTACATAATTTTCGAGTATAAACATCAGCAATAGTCATGGATTTTCCCATATCCTTGTATGTAAAGAAAAAAGCTATCATTTTACTGAAAATATTACTGAATTTCGGTCTGTTCACGCCTGGGTTATGCCAAAGGGGTTAAACCCTTAGACTCAGCAGTTTAAAACATTCTGAGCATCCATTAATCAAATAATATCCCAGATAATTATAATTTCTAAAGAATACTATCATCTTCAATCGAAGTTAATTTCAATTTTCAGAATACTTTTGATGTAGGAAATCCTTAAATCCAATAAGACACGATATAAATGTTTTCATCCTTAGGAATCACTCAAAATCTAGACTAAGTATTGGTACTTAATGAATGGGTCTATTTTTGAGTTATTTTACTTCAGCAATTTCTTGGAAAGGAAGCTTTGGTATATATAAATAAATTTACCTTAATATTTTCGCATTTTATTCTAACTATTCATGGAATCCTTTGCCTTAATCATATTTGTCCTATGCAAATGCTATTTTTCTCTAATAAATGGTTCAAGTCAAAACAAGTTCATATTACCTTTCTACACTCGCGCATCGATTTAAGCAAAGCTCGGGGTCCTGATCCACTACCATTTAATTGACAGTCCCCAGAGGGAAGAGGAACATTGTCCGAAGAGTTAAGTGTTCGCTTAGTGGGAGGAAGCAGATGGGACATGTCGTTACCATGATAGAAGATTCTACGACGGTGTGCAAATGGTCTCAGAAACTCAACGTATGATATTCTGTAAAAGGGGAATGGGGCAATAATGAGATTTAATATCCGATGTTGGAAATTAAATGCGGATAAATATATGACTTAATATATCTATAAATTAATTTATTTTGAATTCGCTCAGGTATATTTTCAGGAAGCAGGTTGGCTATTCAGCTATCAAAAAAATAAGAGTTAGATTTTAATTAGCTTCTTGTGGGTATAAAGGGTCCCTTGATAAAATATGCTTCAAGTTGAATGTTTATCGAGAACAAAGACTTTTCTCAAATTCTTTGTTGGTCGGAATTTTCCTGAAATTAATTGAAGTAAAATTTAATGAAGAAGTATCATTTGGACACAGTTAATGAAATACTTTATTACGCCTCCATCACGAAATTAGAGGAAAGTTATGAGAC